GACCTATGTAACCTAGAACTCTGATACCAACTTGAAAAGACCCGGATTTTCCACCCTCGGGAGTTGTGATGGAGCCTACTAGTGAAAGCTAGGCAAGCCAACCATTTAAATTATTTACCTTTTTCCCATTTTTAATCCTTTAACAATTAAGAGCCAAATTACATAAGTAGTGGAAATTTAAAAGCAGAAGACTGAAACGTAATATTTTAATAAAGATGTCAATACCAATCCATACATAAACTACCCAACACTGGTGTCACAATTTCACAAACTGTCTAGGAATACTACAAATAAAGGTTCGAAAGAGTTATTACAACACTGTCTCTGAAATACATAAAGAAAATATAATAAAAGGAAAGAGGGAGATGCCAAGGCCTGTGGACACCTGCGTGACTACCTCAGATCTCCGAATGGACTGAAGGCAGCAATCTCACTGTGGTCCAAACACTACAACACTGGGATCTGCACACAGTGTAGAGTGTAGTATCAGCACAACTGACCCCATGTGCTGGTAAATGCCTAGCCTAACCTCGGCGAAATAGTGATGAGTCTAGGACCAGACTACCAAATAAACCTGTGCAGTTAAATCATATACATGGGAAAATAAAAGAAGAAATGTACAGTTAAGGATGGGAGGGGGAAGCATGTTGCGGGGACATCGAATAATTACAGAAGAATAATAAATAAAAATAAGGATCACCACAGTTCAATTGAAGATAGGAAGGGGAATCATTCTGCAGGGTACAACAAGTATTAACAAAGACCAACAATTAAATGTAGAGAAACCATAACTCAGTTATCAAAAAATATCAGGAAAATCAAAGACAAGTGCACGACATCACCCTTCGTGCTTTAACACTCTCTCACAAATAACATGTACGGCATCACCCTTCGTGCTTTAACACTCTCTCACCAAAACAATACACGACATCACCCTTCGTGCTTTAACACTCTCTCACAAATAACATGTACGGCATCACCCTTCGTGCTTTAACACTCTCTCACCAAAACAATACACGACATCACCCTTCGTTGCTTTACACTCTTCCTCACCCAAGCAACAATCACAAAGCAATTTAGGCAAGGGAATCAATAGCATCACAATAAAATAAAGCAACGAAAGGGAATCAGTAAATAAATATAAAGAACACCATAACTCAATTAGCAGCAAAAATCAGGAAAATCAAGACAAGTGCACGGCATCACCCTTCGTGCTTTTACTCTCGTCCTCACCATAAGAATCAATATAATCGGCACAACATCACCCTTCGTGCTTTTACCTCATATAATCATGGCACGGAATGATCCTTCGTGCATTATCACTCATATAAAGGCACAGAATGGTACATTGCGCGGCACGACATCACCCTTCATGCATTAACACTCTCTCACAAATATCATGCACGGCATCACCCTTCGTGTTTTAATACTCTTCCTTACCCAAATAACAATCACAAAACAATAAGGGCAAGGGAATCAATATAATCACAATAAAATCCCGGCTAGGGAACAATAGTACAACAATCATATCCCAGCAAAGAAAATAATATCAAAAGCAATAACATCCCAGCAAGGGAGATAACATTAAAAATAACAACATCCCAGCAAGGGAGATAATATCATCCTTTTCTCTTTTCACGTTTACTTCACAACTCAATTCACAACTTGAGCCAATGCTCTAAAATGTTCAATTTCCAATAATACTTCTACAAATCAACTTACAACTTGAGCCAACACTCTTCAATGTTTAATTACCAATATTACTTTCACAAGCCTTGTTCAACAATAGAAATCATCACATAAGGCATGAACAATAGAAAACAGAGTCACATTAATCATGGTATAAGACTCACGGACATGCTTGACACCAACGTATAGATACTCGTCATCATGCCTATACGCATACTCAATAATTAACACATAGCAAATAAGACACGGCTCTTAATCCCTCAAGCTAAGGTTAGACCAAACACTTACCTCGATGCCACGAACATAATTCAAGTCTCAATTATCGCTTTACCTCTTGATTCCACCACCAATTCGCTTGTATCTAGCCACAAGTTACTTAATTATATGAATAAATACTAAATGAATCAATTCTAATGCATGAAAATAAGTTTTTCAATATTTTCCCCAAAAAGTCAAAAATCGCCCCCGGGCCCACATGGACAAAACCTGAGGTTCGAACCAAAACCCGATTACTCATTCCCTCACGAACCCAAATATATAATTTGTTTTGAAATGGGACCTCAAATCGAGGTCCAAATCCTAAAAATTTGAAAAACCTAGGTTCTACCCAAAACACCCAATTTCCCCCATGAAAACCCTTGATTTTGAGTTGAAATCATGTGAAAAGATATTAAAGATTGAAGAAATTGAGTTAGAAATGACTTACAATCGATTTGGAGAAAACCTTTTCTGTGGAAAATTGCCCAAGAGAGTTTATGTTTTGAAAGGGTTTGAAAAATGAAAGATTTTCTGCTAAGTCATGAATTTGCAGTTCGCAGATGTCGCAAATGCGACCATTGCGAACCATTCAGAACCTGCTAATCTCGCATTTGCAATCACTGTTCGCAATTGTGAACTCGCATTTGCGACAATGGGGATTTCTGGGCCTTTTAGCATTTGCGAAGAAATGATCTCATTTGCGATTAGGCCTGCCCAGGCCTTCTCTCACATTTGCGATGGTTTATTCGCATTTACGATCTCGCATTTGCGATCCAGGCTTCGCAACAGACCTGCAACATACCAGCAATTCCTAAGTCCAATTTCACTTCGTGGCTTATCCAAAACTCACCCGAGCTCGCGAGGCTCCAAACCAAACATGCATACTAACCTAAAAACATCATACGGACTTGCTCGTGCAATCAAATTGTCAAAATAACATCAACAACTATGAATTAGCATCAAAATCAAAGAAAATCTCAAGAACTTTCAAAGTTTCAAATTTTACAACTAAGGTTCCGAAACACGTAATATGACCTCTGTTTCTTACCAAATTTCACCGGCTCAACTTAAATCACATATAAGACATGTACTGGGCTCCGGAACCAAAATACGGGCCCGATACCATCAAATCCAAACATGTTTCATTTCCAAAAACTCATATATATATTCCAGAAAATAATTTTCTTTAAAAATTATTTCTCGGGCTTGGGACCTCGGAATTCGATCCGGGCATATGCCCAAGTCCCATATTTTCCTACGGATCCTCCGAAACCGTCAAATCATGGGTCCGGGTCAGTTTACCCAAAATGTTGACCGAAGTCAACCTAAATTCATTTTAAAAGCAAAATTCACCATTTCTCACAGATTTTCATATAATGGCTTTCCGGATACACGTCCGGAATGTGCACGCAAATCGAGGTGAGACAAAAAGGAGATTTTAAGGCCTCGAAATATAGAATTTATTTTTAAAACAAGTAATGACAAGGTCATCACAGAAGAGCCCACCGTTGACGTTTCTACCGCTATATATACCAGCAATTAATTAGGAGTAAAACAAAAAATTTAAAGCTAAATAATTTTTTGAATATAAAAAAATGTCACACTCCTTTTAAGCTGGAAAAAACTGTCATATAAAATGAAATAGAATAAGTTGTTCATTTGGAAATTAAAATTGTTAAATGTTGTGTTTACTATACCAGCACAAGGATTAGAAATGAAATTGAATCCCCCATATATCAAAATAAAAAAAGACGTACTACCTTCTATCCAGCTTATGTGAACCTATTTCTTTTTTGGTTTGTTCCAAAAAGAATGACCCCTTTCTAAATTTGGCAACAATTTAGCTTAACTTCCAGTTTTACCTCTAATGAGAAGCTTTTATAACCACACAAATACTCTGGACCCCCTTTTGACTTGTTTAGGACTACAAATTTTAAAGTCTTTATTTTTTCTTAAATTTTGTGCCCAATCAAACAGGTTCTAATAAATTGGAACGGAGGGAGTATTTGATTAAACATTTCCTCTATAGGGCTTTCTTTTATAAAACCTAATGGAATGTTCAAAGATAAATTTAGATAGGGGTGAAAGAGACATTAGGGTTTTTCTTTTCGGAGAAATTAGGGATAGTGCAGTGGCGGAGCCACCCTTGTGTACGGAGTGTCAATTGGACACTCCTTTATCAAAAATTAAATTATATAGATAGGTAAAAAATTTATGTATAAATTATATATGTTGCATCCCCTTGACTTCTTTAATTATTTACTATTTTTGATTTCTTTAGTGAAAATTCTGGCCTAGGTTAGTAGATTACATTAGTAATTTGATTGAAGTAATGAGCTCCAAATCTGAAAAAGCCAGTCAGAACAAACATAAATTAGGTTGTCTTTTTGTGTAGGACGATAGAGAATAGTACGCATATCTGTCTACTTTAAACACTCAGTCCAAGCTTAATGCTCACGGGGTTAATCCCAGCCCTAGCTCCTTCAATTATTCTATATTTGGGGTCTCTTCAATTTTTCAGACCTAATGAATCTACTCTTCTCTTTGTCCATAAATGTGTGCCTTTATTATAGATAGAGATCCAATAATTTTTTACGAGTTTCCATCACTTTCGTTGTTAGTTTCTTAGGGCAAGTTTCTGAAGTTGATCATCAGAACAACTACAATTAATAGATATTCGCCATGGCCAGAAAACAATAAAAAATTATAGCTTTTCTTTTATGAATTAAACAGGTTAAAAAAAGAAAGGAAAAAATACATATTATCAATAGAGTTCGAATTAAGTTTAATCATGTTGATGTGTGCGGTTACTTTTAGATCTATATATTATATTTGCTATAAGTCTTTAATACTTATGATAGATTTATGTGACTAGAAAATATAGAGAACATATAGCGTTGGAAAAACTAATTTTCTTATTGTTGTTATTATAAATAATTATTCCGTATTGTTCTTGTTGTTTGTTAAATTAAAATGAACTTAAATGGAGCGACATAGTCAGTGAGAATCTCGCCTAACTTCCCCTACCGATGGATTTAAAAAGCTCCTTCTTTCTTGTCTTTAGAACACATTCTCAGTTAAGCAACCCTAGGCCCTTGAAGAAAAGAAAAAAAAGGATAAAGAAAGCCCCATCCTAATGCATGGAGCTTGTGTGCAGTCGTAGTAATTACTAGCTTTAAAAAGATTTTTGTTTCTTCAACATTTTTTAGTGAGAGAGAGAACTCAAATTCCACAGCCCTAATTAAATTTCCTTTGACCAAAATGTTCCCTGCCAGTAACAGTACTGGAAACCCTCCTCCTCACCCCTCATTATCCTTTCACAGCTCCTCTCCCTTTCTTGGCCTCAATGGCAACCAAATTCTCCTTCATCATCACCAAAATCAGTTCTCTTCTCATCACTTTGCTAAGAATAACATGACACTCTCAGCAAACAATATTATCAACTCTCCAAATTACCATCAAAATCATAGTGATAATTCCTTAAGGTCATTTCCCATCAACAAGAAACCCAAGAAAAGGGAGAGGTCTAGTAAAATTTTAACATCTCAAGGTCCAAGAGATCGAAGAGTGAGATTGTCCATTGCCATTGCTCGAAAGTTCTTTGATCTTCAAGAAATGCTAGGTTTTGACAAACCAAGCAAAACCCTTGATTGGCTTTTCAGTAACTCCAAACTAGCCATTGAGGAACTCACTAATTGGTCAACTCATCAGGATCATGACCCGAAGATTGCAGGTTCGATCCCAATCCTCACAATTAGAATGAGTCTTATTAGGTTTTTTGTAGGGAAGGCTCTTCCAACCTCCGCGAGTCCCCTTCCTGTCCTACTTAAAACTTGAAAAATCAGAATATCTCCACCTTCATAAAGTGGGGAAGTAAGGTCTGCGAACACATTACCCTCCCCAGACCCCAATTGTAGAATTCCACTATGTTTGTTGTTGTTGTTGTTGATCCGAAAGAATCGCTTGAGAACTATGCATACTTGAAGTTAGTCAGCTTCTTTAGCATAGTATTGTTTTAACCTTGAAAATCTCCTTTAAGCTCTAGAAATGAAGACGTTTTTCATGTGTAGTCCTTACTAGCTAGTGTGTACCGCATTTCAAATATTTTATTTTATTTATGTAGGAGCAACGAAGTCGAGCTGCGATGAGACTGCCAAACATTGTGCTTCAGATTGGGAAGACCTGGCCATAACAACAAATGAGGGTTTAGAAAGAAAGCCCAAAAGATTAGCAAAAGAAAAGAAAGAAGTAAAAGATGAGGCAACAGATCTTGCCCTAGTGGTAAGAGAGTCAAGGGTCAAAGCAAGAGCAAGAGCTAGGGAAAGAACAATCAAGAAAATGTGGAGTAGAATTGAAACTAGCCAGAGGTCAACTTCTCGGTTGATCAAATCTAGTTTCTTTTTGAAGAAGGATATAAGGGAAATGGAAGAACAATTTTGTAAGAACAAATTACAAGCAAGTCAAGAAATAGCAAATAAGGAAATAATTCAAGGATCTGGAGTTACTAAAATTAAGACCAAGCCTTCTTTAATCTTGGGTTTTCACCCAAATTTCTATGCTCCTATAGAGTCATCAACTACCCACTATGGTAGCTCTTCTTTCAACACTGAGAATTGGGACAAAGGCACAACTTCAGGTTACGAATTAATGCTTATCTTAAAGATTTGCCAGTTTAAGTTATATATACACCATATACCACTTTTACATGTTGTAGCGGATAATTTGTCTAATTTTCAAGATTACAAATTCCACATTTTACGAAGATTTACATATAGATGTTTTTTAAGTGACCTGATAGCATAAATAATACTTTACATTGTTGATATATATAATTTAAACTCAAGATCTAATACTCCCTCCGTTTCATATTAAATGAGGTAGTTAGACTCGGCACGGAGTTTAAGAAAAAAGAAGAAGACTTTAGGAACTTGTGGTCTTAAAAGCTTAAGGGACAAAAAGTTTGTGGGACCATGACATTTGTGTGGCTGTAAAAACTTCTCATTAAGGGTAAATGAATAAAATGAAAGAGTTTAAAGTTGAATTGTTTCCAAATTTAGAAATGTGTCATTTATTTTGAAAAAGAAAAAAAAGGAAAGTACCTCATGGAGGAAGTACTAATTATCTTATGAATAACTTGATTGTATAAATATTTTTTTCTCCGTCGGTGTGAAATTTAAACTCAACATCATTTCAATGTTCTTTTTTGCCAGAACTTCAAGGTCGCTGGAAACAATTGGACTCATGTCACAGCAACCAAATCTAATATGGGAACAATATAAGCTAAATTAAACTTTCTTGTTTTTAAGGTATGATTCTTCATATAGGTGCTTTGTTTCTTTCTCCGTCCTCTCTCTCCACAGGTACGGAATGTGGTCTTTGGTTGTGGGCGAATTTAAAATTTAGGTTTTATGGGTTGTAAGCTTTATATTCTCACCGATGAACTATTAGACTTTTGCAATGATGGGTTCCAAATTTGATACATGTATTTGTAATATTTATAATGTTTTTTCATATTTATGTATTTAGGTAAAAATTTACTCACACCGTTTACACCAAGCCAATTAACATGACACATATGTCTTGCATATATATCTATATTCTAACTATAGTACTACTGGAATGTCCATGCTTGTTAGTCTACTGAGTATTTTCTGATGTATGTTTCGCCTGCTGAGCACGTTTGTGATATTTTATTTCAAATAATTTAAGAAAAGCTGGAGAAATCAGAAGATTTCTTCTCGAAAATTAAAAAAATGATGTAATTACAAAATAAATTATCACCTATCGAAATCACTAATCAATTAGAGATGTTGATTGGCTGAGTTGTACCTAGTGTTACCTTCAAACCAATAAACACAATATATATTTTTTTACAAACATTTGTCACTTAGGTTTTGAATGTATGAAATACAAAATAAATAACTCTTTGAGATAGAAAAAATTTGATAATATGTATATAAGAAATAAAATAAATTCTCTTCTATAACAAGTTAAAATTCACCGATGCTGTAGAAATCAATTACTACATTTTATTTAGCACGCATAAGTTAAATCCTTTACTTAATAACATCTTCAAACATACGTCACACTGTTTTTCACAGCTTTAGTATCGTTTGTCAGGTGGTAAATGACTTTAGTTATCTCTTACAACAAAGTCACAATCCTCTCTAACAAGGCTTCTTAAACAGGACGTTCATGAACACGATTAGAGCTAGACGGAGCTTGAGTTCTAGCTAAGGATTTGATATATATAATCTAGTAGTGTTGGCCAAAACTTTATATTTGTGTTATAAAATCTATTGAATATATGTACGTAATTTATTCAAAATCCAATAAGTTACTATTTTTTTCTTGAATTCAAAACTCATAAACTCAAAATTCTAGATCCATGAAAATCTCCTCTAATGAATGGAGAACCACTTACTTTGCTAAATGCCTAAATCAGTTCACATGCCCTAGAAGACAATATTGATCAACTAAAGCTGAAATCAATAGTACTAAATGCATATAATTGTTTTAAATGTCTTGATAGCGTAAAAATTTCTTGTCGAAAATATAAATTAAATTTTAAAGATAATTACATATAATTGTTCATAGATATTTATATGATACTAAGAGCACGAAGCCCTTAATTGAAATATCATTCCTCTTTCTTACCCTTTAAAAATTAATTTCGCTCTAAACAAAATTGCCTTTTAATTATTTTCCTTAGGGATCCACATTCGTCATTTTCGGGACTTTTACGATTTTTTTTATTTTTTATTTTATAAATCAAACACAATATTTAATCTAACTTTTATATAGTTTTTAAAATTATGTATCAATAAATATGGGGTATACGCGTAAATGGGTATCCTGAAATTAGTAATATAAAATAATGTGAGTAATAGTTATAGTACACTAATAAAGTAATAAATAAGTGCTCCTGATTACGTCTGCGGTATTTCCCATAGTTCCTCAGATTTTGATCCGATGAAGACTTGAGTCACTTTCCAATTTTTTCTGATTCAAAATTAATGGAGAAAATCTAATGATTACTGCTACAACTACTACTGTATTTAGGGCTGATATTTATATAGTGATCCTTAACAACTGTCCTACTACAGCATTAATAGAAAAGACAAAGTTAAAACCTTGTTTGACTGACGTGCGTAAAACCTGGGAAAACAAAGCAGAATAATTTCAATATCAGGCAGAAGATCTGCTTCTCTCGGGGCATATCAATATTTTTTTCTTGCAATGGAATATTATAAATATTAGGACCTACAGTTAATTAAAGTGAAAGAAGAAACAAACACTGAATTTAATACTCCCTCCATCATAATTTATTCAATGGTGTTTGATTGAGCACGACGTTTAGGCAAAAAATTAAGACTCTTAAAATGTATATTCTAAAATGAGTTATAGATATTTGTATAAATTGTCTCATTAGGTATAAATTGATAATTTAAAGTTATAATTATTAAATATAAAAATGTATCTTTTTTTCGAAACTGACAGAAACGTAAAGATTGTCACATAAATTGAAACGGACTAGGCAGTATGTTAAAGCTAGAAGAAGGTCGAACATGTAAACTTTAACTGTGGGAGAATCTCCTCCATGGTTTCGCTTTGACATAGCTTGCTTACTACGGATTAATATAATTCATGTATACTGAAACTCTAAAAAAATTTACCTTGTTGGTATATTTTAATTGACTAGTAATCTACTTTATTTTTGATATTACAAATATTTTTGTCTATAAGTTCCATATCAATTATTTGATAGTATAATATTCTTTTTTTATATTGTTATGGATCGTTTGGTTCTCATGCTAGCTATGCATAAATTATGCAGCAAATCAATTTTTTTATTGCTACCAGGCTCAAATACTACATAATCTGTGTAGGGATTATTTTTAAATGATCCAATCAAGCATAATATTATCTTAAGCAAGATATTATATTGGAAATAATTTTTCATTCTTTCTAAATTTGGTTTCGGTAGTAATTATCATACGAGTGAATTGATTGTACAGCATAGGTTGTGCAGGGATTACTTTTAAACAATCAAATCAAACATAATATTATCTTAAGAAAGATATTATATTGTGAATATTATTTTTCTAGTCTTTCTAAATTTGGTTTAGTAGTAATTATCTTACGACTGACTTGATTGTGTGCACCATAAGTTGTGCATAAAATATTTTTAAACAATTAAATCAAACATAATAGTACTATCTTAAAGCAAGATATTATATTGGAAATATTTTTTCAGTCTTTCTAAATATTATTATTATAAGCAAGATATTATAGCTAGCTTAGCTATAACTAAATTAATACGTGTATCGCTAGGAATTTCAACACAACCCTTTTGATGGTGCATGCGGTCGCTAATTTTGCACTACCATTGTCAGTAGCTTTGAAGGTCCAAACATGGTTCAGAATTCAGACCAGATGGGACGTGAGAGATTTGATCAATTGTTGTAGTCTCTATTCCAGATTTTTTTAGATTTTTCTTTTGTTTGGTGAAGTTTGATTTGAGTATTTAAATACGCATGATAGCTGTAAAAATTGACTTAATTAGAGCTTAGGTTAGTCATCATGAGTAGTAAATTCGAGGTCCTTTGTTGTGACAATTGAATCATATATATTTTTTTCTATCTTTCGATTAGGTATTTCAGAAGTGAAGTTTTAGTTGGAACTTGGGATATTTATTAGTTTCATTGCTGAAATTAAGAGAGTTGTAAACCCGTATGTAGTTAGCAGCAGGTGGAGAAATGTAGAAAATTTTGAAAAATGTGGTATTTTACCCAAGTTGGAGAGAGAGTAGGCGCCACAGACTTGTCAAAGTTCATTTTACGGGCTCAATACATGTGAAAAACATGCCTTGTACCATGCCATGTTCGATTGTGAGAGAGAATTGAGAAGGAAGAAGAGAAATTGAAATTGTATTCTAAAATCTGAGTTTTTCTCTTTGTATACAGCTTTTCCACTACTTAGATGACAACATATGTACAGCTGTCAATTAACTACCTTTTTTTTTTGCTAGCTTGCACACTCCTAGTTGTATTTTGTGTACTTTAACCCTCATATGCTAAGACTCCCCCTCAAGCTGGAGGGTGGAAAGCATCGAACACTCCAAGCTTGGAAAGAAGGAAGGAATGTTGAGCAACACCAAGTCCCTTTGTCAAGAGATCAGCCAACTGAAGTTTGGTCGAAATGTGATGAGGAGCAAGCAAGCCAGACTTGATTTTTTCTCGAACAAAGTGACAATCTATCTCAATGTACTTTGTTCGTTCATGAAAAATGGGATTTGCTGCTATTTGAAGTGCAGCTTTACTATCACAATAGACATCAACAGGCTGATGTATTTCAATACTCAATTCTTGCAGCAATCCAACAAGCTAAGTAACTTCAGCTGTTACTGCAGCAAGGCTTCTATATTCAGCTTCAGCTAAGCTACGACTCACTGTCTGCTGCTTCTTTGACTTCCACGACAATAAGGAATCTCCAAGCTTGACAGCATATCCAGTGATCGATCTTTGGGTGTTTGGGCAAGCTGCCCAGTCTGAATCACAGAAGGCAGAAAGGTGGGTGATAGGACCTTTCTTGAGGAAAATCCCAAGTCCAGGTGACCCCTTAATGTACCTAACCACTCGAAGTGCTGCAATTAAGTGTGATTGTTTGGGTGTTGCATGAACTGGCTAAGAACTTGCACAGCAAAACAAATATCAGGCCGTGTAATGGTTAAATAGAGTAACTGGCCTACTAGTCTTTGATAGCTCCCCACATCTTGCAACTCTTCATCACCATTGTGCCCAACATGCTTGTCATATTCTATAGTGGTCAATTTCTGATTTAGCTCAATAGGGGTAGATGCAGGTTTAGCAGCAGCCAAGCCTGTGGAAGAGATTAATTCCAGTGCATATTTTCGTTGGTTCAACAATATCCCCTGGTCTGATCTCATCACCTCAATCCCCAAAAAATATCTGAGCTCACCCAAATCCTTGACCTTAAAGTTGTTATGCAATGTGTGTTTGGCCTCTTCTACTAATGAGATATTACTACCTGTAATCAAGAGATCATCAACATACACCAATATAATCACAATGTCATGTGACATTTGTTTGGTGAATAGAGAATGATCATATGCACTCTGTTGATACCCTGCTCCCACTAAGGCATCTGTGAGTTTAATATTCTATTGCCTTGAAGCCTGTTTTAGCCCATAGAGTAACTTTAACAACCTGCAGACTTTGTTCTCCCCATGTCGTTTAAAACCCTGTGGCAAAAACATGTAGACTTCTTCATAAAGGTCCCCTTGGAGGAATGCATTATTGACATCCATTTGATAGAGGCTCCATCCCTTTGAGGCTGCTATACTTAAGACAGTTCTCACAGTTACCATTTTGGCAACTGGTGAAAAAGTCTCATGATAGTCTAGCCCTTCTTGTTGTGTGTATCCTTTAGCTACCAA